TCCTGAAAATAAAAGCCAGCTCTTTTCTGAGCTTTGAAGTGTGGAGTAGAACTGAACAGAGAGGAAAAAAAAAATCTATCCTATGGGGGATGGGTTTTTAGAAAAACACCCTATTGAATCAACAGCATTTGTATTAAAACCAGCCAGTCCTGGACTATTTCCATAGGAACCAGGCCTCCCATTCCGGGCAGGCTCCCTGCAGCAGCACCCAAAGCTGTGGAGGGGTGGGGGGCAGTGGCAGGGGGGCTCTGGGGTGTGCCCAGCCCGGGCAGGGCAGCAGGGCAGGGAGGGCTGCTCATTGTTGAGTCAGTGATTCACAGCTGTGACTCACAGCCCCATCCTATGGCCGTGGAAGGCAGCCAGCTCTGGCCATCAGCTGTGTGCATTCTCCTCTGTGAGAAGTTATTTTTGGATGTTTTTAGATTACAGCCCTTGGGTTTTTTTTCTGTGCCTCTGAATTCTGGATGATTGCGCTGCAAGTAATTGAGACACTTGAATTTCCTGCTTAGAGAAGTGAGTTCAATGCCTTTTTTTTTTTTTTTTTTTTTTTTTTTTGCAATGTTAAGGCATTTCTAAAATAGCTTTTCTACGTGGCGTCATGCGGAGCAGGCACACAGCTTTGGGGCTCTTTGTGCAAAATTCAGGAACACTGGGTGCAGTAAGGGTGAAAAAAGGGACATGGGTTGTCAGGTTGAACATGAATCCCCCGTGCACCTTTGCTGTGGTGGAGACTGGTTTTACTGGTGAGGTTGTAGCCAGCAGTTCATTCCTTTTTTTTTTTTTTTTTTTTTTTTTTTTTGCAATGTTAAGGCATTTCTAAAATAGCTTTTCTACGTGGCGTCATGCGGAGCAGGCACACAGCTTTGGGGCTCTTTGTGCAAAATTCAGGAACACTGGGTGCAGTAAGGGTGAAAAAAGGGACATGGGTTGTCAGGTTGAACATGAATCCCCCGTGCACCTTTGCTGTGGTGGAGACTGGTTTTACTGGTGAGGTTGTAGCCAGCAGGACAAGAAGTTGCCCTCAATTCCCACACCTGGAGCACTGTGCCAAATTTTGGGCTCCTCACTGCAACAAAAGCAGGGCCACATGAGAGCCACCAAAGTGATCTGAGCACTGGAGCCCGGGGCAGGGTGAGAGGCTGGGAGAGCTCCTTCTGCTTGGAAGGTGGCACCTTGGAGCACTGCAGGATCCTTAGGGACCCTGCCAACCCAAACCATGGCAGGGTTCTAGGATTTGTGCCCCTCTTCCAGTCTGATTTTGTGATCCCACAGGGAGTTAAGGGGAGGTGGGGCTTTGGGTGTCCCCCAGAGTGGAGGGGCTGGTGAGGCTGATGCCAGGAGTTCACGTGTTTCCCTCACTAAGAGCACAAGGCAGGAAAAGGCTCTGAAGTGCTGCCCATGCTGAGCTCAGTCCTTCCCTGGGACACACAGCTCTAACCCAAGAGCTCAGAACAGTCTGGGCAAGAGCCACGTTTCTTGGTAGAGCCACCCCCCTTGGGAGGGTTGGGCTGTGCCACTCAGACTGCAGGGACTACCCAGACCCCTCATCCCTCCCTTTCCAACCCATTCCTGGCCAGGTCTGGTGCCCAGGGGTGCCAGCCCTGCTGCCTGTGCCTTTCCACGTTTCTTGGTAGAGCCACCCCCCTTGGGAGGGTTGGGCTGTGCCACTCAGACCCCTCCCAGGCTGCAGGGACTACCCAGGCCCCTCATCCCTCCCTTTGCAACCCATTCCTGGCCAGGTCTGGTGCCAGCGGTGCCAGCTCTGCTGCCTGTGCCTTCGTGCAGCCCTGGGGCCAAGGGCATGGGCTGGGCAGCTCAGTGGGGTCAGGAATCCTGACCACAGGTGAGCCTTTCCTTCCGTGCATTCCCACTGCTGTAGGACAGAGGCTTTGACAGGAGACAGGAGGAATGTCTGCACAGGGGAACCTGAAGGAGTTGCCTGAAGGAGGGGTGGAAGAGGAGGGAAGAGTCTTTTGGGAGGTGGAAAATGTGATGCTGGCACTGCCACATCAAAGAGGGAGTTGAACCTGAGCCTCTGATTTCACAGCAGAGTTCAAACCACCGGAGTATTACATTTAAAGGAGAAAAAAAAAAAAAAAAAAAAACCAAAAAAAAAAAAAACAAAAAAAAAAAAAAAAAAAAAAAAAGAGTGATTAAACACATGATAAATATTCTGGTTTTGATTTGACTTGAGCTGAACTAGGAGATAAAATGCTTGAAATGTTGTCAATACTTTTGAATTAAAGAGGAAAAAAAAAAAAAAAAAAAACCAAAACAAAAAAAAAATCAAACAAACAAACAAAAAAAAATACCCAAAACCAACCAAACAAACAAAAAAAACCCACCCAAACAAAAAAAAAAAAACAACAAAACACCACCAACAACAAAAAAAAAACCCAACCAAACAAAATGCATGTGATACTTCCTTGTGCTTTCTCTCCCCCATCTCTGGGTGCCACCATCATGTCAAGGCAGCTCCCAGAGACAGGATCAGCGCCTGGGAGGCTCAGGGATGTTTCTGAGCAGCTTTCCTGAAGCCCTGAAAACCCTGGGAATCTCATATTCCCGCTGGGGTTGGGGCAGGAGCTGCTGGGGTTAACGGGTGGCTGGATGGGCTGTGGTTTGCAGTGGAGCTCAGGTTCCTAAGTCCTTTATTGGATCTCGCCCGGGGCTCTATTCCCAGCCCTGTTTGTGACATTAGCAGGTCACTGCAGCCCCGGGGCTGTCCCCACCTTGTCCCGGCACGGCGCTCGGGGGGCAGGGGACCGAGGATCTCACCACGGAGGAATCACCTGGGAGGGGAGCACGCCTCGCGTCTGGCTTTTGGAACCGTGCCACCAGCCAGGGCGTGCAGCAGGGCTGTGGATCGTGCCCGGGTGCCCCGGGAGGGCAGGCAGCAGGGATTTCAGGATGCTGCGGGGTCGTGCAGGGGCAGCCTCTGCCCCACTGGTGCTTATTTGCATCCCCTAAAGATTAAGTGGTGTGGGAGCAGCGCCCTGTGCCCGGCTGGGGATGGCTCAGGCACGGGGTATGGAAGGGGAGGGATGGTCCTGTGGTCCTGGCTCGGGTCCTGCACATCTTTGGACAAGTTGCTTAAGACTGGATTTTGTGCAGAGCACCTGGGAGTGTCTGCACAGCATCCTTGCAGACAGATACTGTGTTTCTAAGGTAGTTGGAGCCAATATTCAGAATTCCAGAATGGTTTGGGTTGGAAAGGACCTCACAGACCATCCCATCCCACCCCTGCCATGGCAGGGGCACCTCCCACTGTCCCAGGCTGCTCCAAGCCCTGTCCAGCCTGGCCCTGGGCACTGCCAGGGATCCAGGAGCAGCCCCAGCTTCTCTGGGCACCCTGTGCATGGGGCAGGATTTCACAGGGATGCTGAAAGCTCACGTGCTTTCAAGGCTTCTCTCCTTGCAGAGCTTGGATGCAGCTACGAGGTCACTGTGGCAGGTACAACCTTCAAGAACAGCGCCTGCGGGTCCGTCCCAATTCCAGAATGCCCATTCTGAGCCTGCTCCGTGTGTGGAGGGGGCACTCAGGCAGGGGGATGCTCAGCAGGGCGTGAGGAGCCCATCTGGTGCCCAGCACGTGGCACTGAGCTGGCACCGGCCCTGCAGGGTGCTGAGTGCTCAGGCCTGGGGCTGCCGGGGGACACCCCGGAGCATGGCTGGGCAGGAATTCAGGGGCTGGGCAGGAATTCAGGGCCGGAGCAGGAATCTGGTGGCTGAGCAGGATGCTGAGATCTCAGCAGGGCTTCAGGATCTGAGCAGTGTTGGGGTCTGAGCAGTGCTGGGGTCTGGCAGCTCCTGAGCTGGGACCACAGTGCTGGGGGAGCCTCCATGCCTTGTAGCCTGATTGTTTGAACATTTTCCTGGGAAATGGAGTAAGGTTCTTTCATGGCAAGGGCTTTCCAACCCCACATCCTCCCCTACCTCACTTCAGCAGAGCTCCCAAGGGAGCCAAGGGGTAAATCCTGGAATTCCAACAGATGGAAAGGGCTGTGGGTGGTCAGAGCAGGGACTGGGAGAGGAGACAGTGGTGATCCGAGTGGTGGGGTCGTTTAGGGACAGAGCAGAGGGGACCCCAGGAAGCTGGTGAGGTGCTTAGGAAGTGTGGAGGCTCTGGAGGGGCTCTGGGAGCACAGCCCTGAGCAGTGAGCGGTGCCTGAGCACAGCTGACACCTGGCAGACATGAAAGCCCGGCTTGTTAGCCTGCACACAGAGTGCTGATTGTAGCCTTGGCCACAAAACCTCCTCAGCCAAAGTCTGTCATCACCCCCTGAGTTCTGCCAGGCTGATCTGTGGCGCTCAGCACCCCCAGCAGCCAAGGGGAACAAGGCCCAGATGCTGCCTGCTCTCCTCCCCCTGCAGCTCCAGCCCCCCCAGGACTGAGCTTGGACTCTTTTCAGAGCAGATTCTGTGGTGCCAGGCAGCTGCTCTGTGATGACCCAAATTCCCACCACACTGTGGGGTTTTCTCTCCCTCCCTCACATGAATGAAGCTGCAGGATGGAGTTGTAACCTGAAAGAGCTTGAGAGGTGCATCCACTCACAGCCTGCAGAAGGGCAGAGGCCCTGGGCATGCAAGGGTGGATATGCACCTCTGGGGCTTTAGGACTGCAGTTTTTGTGACATGACACTGTAATTTTGGCAGTGGATGACATTATATCCCATGGCAGGGTGTTGGAAATAGATCATCTTCACATTCTCTTCTGACCCAAACCGTTCTGTGATTCCATATTGGTGGGGTTTTGGGGAGAGAAGATGCTTGGCTGTGGCCTCTGAAGGCAGCAGGAGTCAGGGAGGTGTTGCTGGATGCACCATCGAGCTCCCAAGTGCTTTTGGTGGTTATTCTTCAAGAGCCTGCATAGGGATGGCCACCTCTGAAAGGGTCTTGGCCCCTGAGTGCTGTTTATGAGGATTTAAAGCATGCACTGCTCCAGCCCACTCCTCCTGACTGAAGTGGAGTAACTTATTGTTTGTTTTCTTTTCCCACAGCTCCCAGAATGGAGAGGAAGCTGGAGCCTGGCCCAACAACCAGTTTGACACGGAGGTGCTCCAAGCCATGATCCTGGCTTCAGCCAATGGTTGGTGTCCATCAGCATGGGAAAACCCTGACTCCTGCTCTGGGGGGCCCCCGGGTTCATGCTGACAGATAAGATGCTGTGGGACTGATTTATCTGGGTTAGCTGGGCTGGCTGCAAAGGATCTGCCTCAACAGATCCCAAAGCTGGTGGAAAAGCCCTGTTGTCCCTGCAGAGAGAGGGGTCAGGAGGATCCAGGGGGGAAATAAATGACTGCTGTCCCTGCAGAGAGAGGGGTCAGGAGGGATCCAGGTAGAGGAGATACCTGGTTCCTGTAGACAGGGACACTTCTTCCACCCAAACTCTGCTTTGTACTGAAACAACTCCACCTGGCTGTGCTGGGGTTGTGCTACATGGAAGAGCCAGTCTGGAGTTGATGTTTTATGGACTACTTGGTTCCAGAAAGTCGCAGTAAATTAATCTTGCTGTGAGGTGAGGGGGAAGGAAGGCTGGGAGTTGTGTGTGGCTGGACCAAGGGAACCAGTGAATGCCTGACTCAGTATTCCCAACAAACCTTGTGTGCACAAGGCTCCCCGAGCCCCTCTGCTGAGCCATGGGCTCACCAAGGTTTCCCCCACTGGCTGCTGCTGCCTCCTTGCAGTTGTATGTACAGGGGGGTGGTTTGGAGTCGTTTTGGGTTGGTTTGTTCTGGTTTATGGCTGTGCAGAAGCCTGGGGCAGGGAGGGATGTTCCCACAGTCTCCATGGCTTTGTGTGAAACGAGGACAATTATCATTCTGTGCAGCACTATGGATAAAGAGCCTGGTTTTCATAGAGCCTTTATTTATAAATACCTTCAAGTCTTTCCCCCCTTGATTTAAAAATAGAAGCACAGCCATAAAACCCTGTGCAAAATGCTTAGGATGTTTCCTTTGAGCTGTTCGGAGGGAAGGAATCTGAGGGAGGAGGAATGGCTTTAGTGTTGCTTTCTTGGAAAGCTGCTGCAGCTGAACTCTGCTGCCCTGCAGACACCAGGAGACAGCTGCCCTGGCTGGGGAGGGGGACAAGGTCTGGGGCAAGGGAGTTGTTTACACTCAAGAGAAAGAAACCATGTGAAAATGTGTCTTTGCTCTGAAAAACGACCATGGAAAAACAGCCCTTGGGGTTGCATGTGGTTACCATCACCCGGTGTCTCCAGATCCGGTCTCCGTGCTGGTAAATAAAGCTGTTTTTCTGGCTGCTGCTCCAGCAATCCCCCGGATCAGAGCTAAGCGGGTCCCTTCCAGGTTAAGCAGCGACTTTGGTGGAGCCCCGGGCCCTATTGCAGCAAATCTCCCCCAATCCACAAGGCTCGAACTGTCCCAGCCTCTCCCCCGGCTCCGGGGGTTGGTGCCATCAAATCCCTGCTGCAGATAATGGCCTTCCCTGATCCGTCCTGCTCGGGCTCTTTCTGTGCTGGGTGTGTGGATGGGGACCCAGCAGCAGTTTTTCCCTCCAGCACAGTGTGTTCGTGTCCCCCTTGCTCTCTGTCCCCTTCTCTGCTCTCTCTTTAAGCCAATAGTGTTGATTGGAGTGGGCTTTGATTAGGGGCAGCGCTAATTGCCCATTAAGCTTTGTGCTACCCATCCCTGGGTGTGATTTCCTGGCCATTTAAATAATCCTTATCTTTCAGTGTCACCCGCTGAGCTGTGTTTGAGCTCCGGGGTGACGAGCGGCTCACAGCAATGCCTTGGATGCATCCTTACCCTGGGCCAGGGGTTTTCCTTGGCTTCAGCAGGAGGCAGCTCTGGCAGGCCAAGGTGCACTATCCAGTCCTTTGAGGATTAAATCCCTTCCCCAATGGTTCCATTACCATCACAAGGCAGAGTATCTGGGGACCTGATTTCCCCCAGGGCTGTGACCTTGCTGTAGGGTTCTGCCTCCCTTCCCAGCCGTCCTTCCTCTGGATCTTCCTGCCTTGCAGCTGGGAACAATATGAAAAACCAGTGTTTGGAGCAATCTGGATGGGCAGAGGCAGCTGCCGGGACAGCCCAAGGAGCACAGATGCTCCAGGACACCAGACCCTCAAGCACAGACATCCTGTCCTTAAAATACTCTGGCTCCAGGGAGAATTTAGAGAGGTGCCATGGATGGTGGGAGAGCAGACGGACAGGCAGCCCGGGCAGGTCCTTGTCCCCCCGGGCAGGGGCAGACACGCTATATTGGGTGCCCTGAAAGCCCCACCAGCAGCTGCAGCGACACCTGCTCTGGGGCTGCCTCCTCTGCCCGCGGGGGTGATGGAGCCGCTCGCTGGTTATTTTTGCCAGAGCCCACATTCTTGTTTTCCTCCTCAGGACGGTTTGGGATAATCACAGGCTGCTGGTAGAGGCTGAGTGTGACCTTTCCAGCGACAAGAGCTCAAGTGCTTTGCTTGGCAAGAGCACCTCGGTGCCCATTTATAACCCCCTGTTGTTGCTGTTCTCTCTTCTTTTCAGCCTTAATGTCAGTGTTACCTAGAAACAGCCGGTCGCCCTTACCCGGGACCGCCTGGCAGGCTGGGAACTTCACAGTGCCCGTTCTCCCTGCTGGAAGCTGTGCTGAGACTGCAAATTAACTCATGGGGACTTGGGTGGTGCTGGCACCCGCAGCCCTTCACTGCTCAGAGCCCTGGGGTGCCCCGGGGGACACAGGGCAGCAGTACCCGGGGAAGGGAAGGGAAGGTGCCCGAGTCCACCCAGCCTCTCGCTGGGCTGACTCCGGCTGGGACAGGCCAGAAAAAATAATTAATTCTCCCCTGCCTGGAGGCTGTAATCTGTCATAGTTGAGACGGAGACAATACAAAGCAACACACTCCTTTTTCAGAAGGCTTCAAAACATTTTTTTTTAATATAGCCTGCATGCTTTTTATACATTCTTACAAACCTCCTAAGTTTACACTTTACTCATTGGTCACAAGAGACGGACAAAGTGCTCATTGGAACCCTGCCTGGAGGCTGTAATCTGTCATAGTTGAGACGGAGACAATACAAAGCAACACACTCCTTTTTCAGAAGGCTTCAAAACATTTTTTTTTTAAATAGCCTGCATGCTTTTTATACATTCTTACAAACCTCATAAGCTTACACTTTACTCATTGGTCACAAGAGACGGACAAAGTGCTCATTGGAACAGGCAGTTGCAGGTTTCTCTTATTTCTCCTTCTTTCTTTCTTGGTTTCTATGTCAATGACCTTGGTAGAAAATTCTTTCAGGGGTAAACATGGATCCTCTTATCAGACTTCTCTCTGGCCCACAGAAGTTGCTGTGAAACCTCTTCCACAGTAGTCCACCTGTGAGATGGTCCCTGCACATCTCCAGTCATCCCATCCCATGGGGGTCATTTCTGACACCTCCCTGGGTGTGGCCTTGAGTTGGTCACTAATGAAATGAGCTGCTGCTCAGGCGAGTGAGCCTTAGCAATAAATATCACTAATTACAGACACATCTCCCCAGCACAAGGTCCTGTAAGCCCTGTTGGGTCTGGAACCCGTTTCCTGGGGACTTTGGAAGAATTCTCCTGCAGGGAATGCTTCCAGAGCAGGAAGTGAAAGGCATTTCCCTGTTTGCACCCCACAGCCCTGCCCTGGGACACAATATCATGCTTGTTTTCAGCCTCGCTGTGTTTTCCTCCCTGCCCGCTCCAGCCGAGCAGCTGCAACTTCTCAAACTGCAGTTGCTTCATCCTTCCGACCCCTGCAAAGGGAATGTGTACACAGCCATATTTCAGGGGATGGTGGGATGCGATCCAGCTTTTTGTCCAGCTTTCTGGCTGCCTTAGCCACCTCCATCTGCTTAGGGGAAAGCAAAGGCAGCACAGAGGCGTGCACAGAGCTGGTCTGGAGTGAGGAGAAACACGAGGGGACCCAGCCCACCACCTCTGCCTGTTATTTTTCTTTGTTCCCACAATCTCTCTGCCTCTGGAAGGAGGGAGCAGCACCCCTGGGCTCTGCCTTGGGCTCTCTGGGTGCCCTTGCTGGGTGTCTCCACCCTTCAGGCGAGCCTGGCCCCAGCCATGGGCATGAGGCGCTAAAGATGGGAGACACAGTGTCTCAGACAAAGGCTGAATTTCAGCAGACCATTTCTGAGCCTGGCTGTGCAAGGATCGCCCCCTGAGCCGTGCACAGGCAGCTGCACTGGAGCAGATCGTGCAGCAGCTCATGGCAACAGCATCACTCGAGCCCTGCCATCCCCCCTGCCCGTTCTCCCCCTGCCTCCGTGCATCCCCCATCTCCATCTGGTCTCCAGCATCCCGGGGGGCCCTGCGCCCCTCCCCACTCCTCGCTCCGTGCTGGAGCTTTGCATAGCGACAGGAATGAATTCGCCTTCCCCTCCCCCTGCTCCCGGATCTGGACCATCAGACACGCTCTGGCATTGATTTCCTTCGTGCTCGGCTTCCTAGAGCCATTTTGTGGTATTGCAGGGGAGGGGTTTTCTTTCTCATCTCCCGTGTCCTGCTCCCTGAATAAACCTGGCTGGAGAAAAATACCGCGGGCAGGGTTTTAAATGCGGCGGAAAAATAAATAAATATTGAATTTCCTTTAATGCACCCCTAATGGTGTGACTGCACAATGTGTTTGTAATGGGCAGTTTCGGGGGGAGTCCTGTGCCAGGTCGCCCTGTGGGGAGCTGAAGGGTGATGTTGTTTTGGGTCTGACACCCTGTGGGGCTGCTGGGGCTTGGGGTGGGGGTCTCCAGCTGGCTTTAACATCCTGCCCTTCTCTTTCCCCCCTTCCCCGGCGTTCCCCACAGAAGGTGCCGATGGTAACTCGACCCTGGGCGGCGGCAATGGCACGATGGGGCTGAGCGCTCGCTACGGCCCCCAGTTCACCCTGCAGCACGTCCCCGACTACCGGCAGAACGTCTACATCCCGGGCAGCAATGCCACCCTCACCAACGCCGCCGGCAAGCGCGACGCCAAGAGCGCCGCCCCCGCCGGGGGCAACAAGAAGAAATCCGGGAAGAAGGAGAAGAAGTAGTGAAGAAGAAAAAGGAGACCTTAGAGCTACAGGGCAGCCGGCTCCAGCACTCCCCCAAAACCACAGCCCAGGCCGGAGGACGAATGTGAATTTATTTTTTTTGTGGTGCAAAAGCAGGAAATGCTGCGAATGTATCTCGTCATCATCAGAGCTGAGAGCAGGGGCTCGCTGCTCTCAGGTCTCGTGATGAAAACCAATCCGGAATCTAAACCGAACGCAAACAAGTGCCCTGTGAATAATGTTTTGTACAATCCCTCGGGTATTCGAATATGCAAGGGCAGAAGGTCTTTTGCCATGTCTTTGGATCCAATTTGCTCGCAGGTAGTCCAAGAAAGGCACAAGGCTTGTGCTCGGCTTCGCCCAGTGTAAATAATTTTAATGTGGATCTTTTAATTTATAGCCCTTCGGCTGTTTTTTGGAAAGGAAAAGGAAGTTCTTAGCTTAGAGCCCATGCTCCAGTTCTTTGCTGTTAAATTTTCCATTCGTAAAATTCACCCCCAGCCAATGATAGCGATGGATTTTGGAATTTGGAAGTTGGTAGGGAGTGCTTCAGTTCCTGCTTACCTGTCATCTGAAAAAACAAAACAAAAAAAAAGTGTTTATATTGCATGAGTCAAAGGGAATATGGCAAAGCTGCATCCTAAGCATTTTTAATTATTTTTTTTAAGTGTAACCACTAATGGCCTGAAATATGATAAGGAAAAAGCCCTCCAGCTGTGTGAGAGTCAGGGAATTCCATGAGGAGCACGCCGAGGTGTGCGGCAGCTGCCCCGGCAGTTCTAGGGGTCTCCGAAGAGCAGACACATCTCAGTCCTTCTTTGCAGTAAATATTTATATGTACAGTCGATGTTCTTATGGAATTAAGGCTAAGAGAGCCTCGCTCCCCGCGGCCAGGCCTGGCCGGGTGACACGGGGACAACTTCACTGTCTGCACACGGTGTCTGCATGCACGTCCCTCACCTCACAGCTGCACTGGCCAGCAGCCCCACGGACCCGCACAGCCCCGCATGCCCGCGTGGGGTGGGCACGCCGGCAGCCGCCCGGGCTGCCCTGGGAGGGGTGGGAGGGGGTGGGATGGCTCAGGCGGGCTGGGGAAACTCATTATTGCTTCTAGTTCGGGCCCCAAAGGTTGTTTGGGGTGGTCGGGCGGTTCCGGGGGTCTCGCCCAAAGGTGGATCCGCGGGGCTGCCGCTGCATGGCTTTGGTGCAGAGTTGGTGGCTGAGTAAGTGATGGTTGTTTCGGTGGCGTTGGGGGACCAGATCCAGACAAGGGACCCAAGAGCAGGGGGTGACGCTGCGAAATGGGGGGCGGTGATTGGGGGCGTGACACACGGGGCCAGCCCGGAGGGGGAGGCGATGCTCCCGCTGGCTTTGGGCTTTGTACCCTGCGGGGAGAATGGAAGGATGAGGATTAGAGTTTCTCCATGTGCCCATCACCAAAGCACCAGGCCAGCTTCCCATAGCAAAGCAGCTCTGAGCCCCCGGGAGAGGCAGGTGGGGGCTTTGTGTAGCCAGAGCCAGGAGAGGAGCTGTGGGGTGGCCCGGGAGGGGACACACCGAGTTTCCCAGGGGGGTGTGTGTTGTTTTTTTCCTTTTTTAATCACTAACACGTAACTCACCCGAGCAGATCCAGCCCTTTCAGCCAGGCTCTCCCCACCCCTGCCCCCTCCCCACACCAGGGCAGCAGGAGCATCCCTCGTGTTTCATCGGGATCCAGCCACCTCCGTTGCTGGCTGCACTGGGAGCGGCTCCCACCCTGTCCCCTGCAGCTGCCACCTGCCCCTCCCCTCCCCAAAAATGCTGTAGCTGAATTGTAGTCTTTATATTTTCTTTTTAATCTGCAATCTGAGGTAGCGTAGTGAGTGTCGTGTATTTAGTGGCGTGTTATTTTTAATTGCAGTAACTAACTTGTGGACATCAGTATTTTCAATTTTCTCTGTATCTTCTTTCCACGTGGTCTGTGCTCCGAGTGTGCGTGAAATGAAACACGTTTGCCCTTTCAATGTGTCTAATATTGAATTATACTTATATATTATATATATGCTTATATCCTTCTTATACCCATATAGACCAATGTCGATGTGTTACACGCAAGTTTTATACTCTAATATTTATATTGCTTTTTTTCTTTGGGAAAAAAAAATAATAAAATGGTTTCTTCTGAATGAATGGTATTTATTGTGGTGGGAAAAGGGAGGCACAGGTGGGGTCTGGCCATCCCAGTGCTGCTGACAGGGGGTGGTTCAGCCCCTGCCTGGCTCCAGCAGTGGGGATGCTCTAGGGGTACCCCCAGTCTTGTGCCCCCAGGCCTGTTCTGGTGGCACCCCCATCCTCTGGTCACCCAGGCCTGTGAGTGGAGGGTGGCCTGGCCATGGATTGTGGCTGAGGACACGATGGGGTCGGTAGCTACAGCCCCAAGAGGCTCCAGCTGCCCCTCTCCATCACTGGCAGGCATCTGGTCACTGTTGCCCAGTCCTGGAGGATCTGGAGAACCAGGCCCAGCTGGGATTCCATCACCCTTCCCCATCACCAGCAGGAATCCACTCTCCCTTCTCCAGCCCTGCTCTGATTTGCTGTCCTGATCCCCCCTCTCTGCCCTTCGGGGCAGTGGGTGGGAGGGCATTCAGATATTGTCACCGGAGCTCCCTGGCCAAGACAATCCTCCCACCCTCCCCCTGCGGGCCAGCACAGGCTCAGGAAAAACATCCCGTGGCTCAGGATGTCGCAACCCTGGAGGAAAAAATAAGCTGCTGCTGGCCAGATGTGAGGGGGAGGGTGGAGGAAGCGGGGGCAGAGCAGTCCCAGGAGACAGACAGACAGACAGAGCCCAGGATTGGGGGTTGGTTTGTTGGTCCCCTGTTAGCAGCGCTAACAGGAGGCTCCAGGTGTGCAGGACACAGTCCCCATCCCTGTATTCCCATCCGTCCCCACCCTGTGTCTCTGTCTGTGTCTGTCCTGTGGCCTCCAGGCTCTGCCCCCCGAATCCCCCCAGTTCTGGCCTTTCCCACAGCGAGCTCCCCCAGTGCCCCACAGAGACACCAAACCCCCATCCAGCTGCACACAGACCCCTGAGAATCCCCATGCAGCTCTCAGAGGGACACCCCTCTCCCCAAATTCCCCTGCACCCACAGATCCAGCTCTCCTGGCTCCCCCGTGCCGCGGGGACAGCCCTGGTCACACACATGAGGGGTGTCCTCCTTTGGGACAGGCGGTCCCAGACCGCAGGGGAGGCCACGGGGCCAGGGCAGTGCCAGGGTAGGATTTGCTGCGCTGGGGCTCCTGTGACACCGTGTGCTCTGCCCCCAGCCCCGAGCTGCTGTCCGTCCCTCCGTGCTGGGTCACCTGGGCTGCATCGGGCACAGCTCCGGGGACATCAATCCCATGGACCTGCAGCTCACGGGGAGCAGGGCTGAGCACCTCCAGGTGCCACCCGCGGGCTGTCCCCAGCACCTGTCCCAGCCGGGTGGCTTCGTGCCAGGGACCAGGCACCGCTGCCCGCTCGGCTGCGGGTGCCGCCGGTGCCCGGAGCTGAGTGCTGAGGGCCGGTGGTGAGGGGAGAGGGGACGGTCCAGCGGGGCCCCAGCTGGGTGACAGCCACCCACGGGGAGCAAAGATTTGCAGAGCTCCAGGGCTGGGTTTGGCTTGAGGAGCCCCCTCGGTGCCCGGAGCCCCGTGGTGTCCCCGTGTCCCCGCTGGGGTCTCGGGGTCAGGATGTGTGCGCTGAGGGGCACCTCGAATTCCATTTTATTTCTCTTCTCTCTCGCTGGAATCACCGCAGGGCACGGCGAGAGCCAGGGAGGGGGAGCCGCAAACACAGACCTGGCCAATTAGCGCTGATGAAGGAAAGCCGGTCAGCCGCGCTAATTACCGGGGACAGGCAGGAGCGTGCTCAGCGCAGCGTGGCGAGCCGGGGGAACTCCCGAGCGCAGGCGGTGGCACGGGGGAGGCGACAGAAACAGAGCTGGAGTCACAGCCTGACAAAGGGACACAACGAGCGAGGCAAGACAGAGCCCCCGGGAGGAGCCCGGGACCAGGGACACCGCGGGGACCGTGGCACTGCTCCCGGGAAGGGCGGCTGGGCCTGGGGAAGGGGCTCCTGGGTGCGGGAGGTGTTTCACTGCAGCCATGCCGGGGTGGGGCTGGGGGTCACAGCCTCGGAGCCCGCTGCTGGCTGTGGGGGGGAGTGGCTGTGTCCCCTCAGACCAGGGGGGCTCACCAGCGAGTTGCAGATGGGACCCTGTGCCGGGGTATCCATGCTGGGCTGCCCTGAGCATCCTTCCACTGCCGGGAGGGGCTCAGATCTTCCTCCACCCTGCTGCAGGCACCTCACCTTCCTTCCAGCCCTCCCGCTGCTGCTTCTCCCCCTTCTCCATCTCCTTTCCCCACCACTGGGATTAGCTCAGCACTGTCCCTCCCCTCCCTGTCACTGTCCCAGGTACAGCCATGGCGTGGGACCAGGGAACCTCCACACCCCGCAGGCAGCAGGGCTGGGAGCTCTCGGTGGTGCAGGAACAGGTCACACAGTGGTGGAGACCCCTTTGTTCCCCTCTGGGGACTGTGCCCAGCTCACCCCCTGCTCCTGGCAGAGCTGGAGCTCTCAGTGCCACAGGTAGTGCTGGTCCCATGTCACCAAACCCTTGTTTGCACCAGTTTTGTTTTGTTTTGTGTTTTTTGGTTTTATTTTTCCGACTGACCTTGAAACCGAAACACAACAGAAAATTAAAAATTAAAAAAGAAAAGAAAAGAGGCAGTTTTCCACTGGATCTGAGCTGAGCTGTCACTCGGCCCCAGGGAGGGCTGGGCGTGGAGCTGGACTCTCCATCAGGCTGTGGTCATGGGCTGAGTCCCATCAGCAGCTCCTCCAGTCATGACTTCACCCAGCAAAGCAGGGGGGGGTGGAATTCACCAAAAAAGCCGAGTTTTCATGCAGCTTTCTCTCACCCCTTCCTTTGGGGTCCCCAAAGGCCCTGGGGACGTCACTCTGGGTGTGACACTGACACTGGGGGCTGGAGCCTGCTCAGAGCAGAAGACACCCCCGGGAGCTGGTGGCAGCAGGGGCTTCTCCTCCCATGAATGCCTCAGAAGGAGGGCAGCCAATGCCATCCAAAAGCACTTGGAAATCCAAGTATTTGGGATAAAAAACATCCGAAAGGGATCCATGAGGCGGTGGGTGCAAAAGGCCAGGTGAGGAGAGGGGATATCCATAGCAGGGGGTGTGGTGGGAAAGCCCCCCCAGCCCCCCAGGACATTCCCTGGGGTTTTATTTCCCCTGACACAGCTGGCTCCTCTCGCACCCCACATCCCCGGGGGGCGAAGTGAGAGGTGTTTCACCATCCTCCACATCCCCTCCTGCTCCCTACATCCCCTTCCCGCCGCCGTGATTTATTATTATTTATAACAATAATAAAGCGTGCGTAGATGGAATAAAATTTTCCTTTTGCTGCCTGAAGCCTTGTGACCGCGGGGAAGGAGAGGGCGGAGGGAGGGCCCTGCTGGCCCCTGGCCGCCCCCTTTGGGGCTCGGGGGCTGCCAAAGGCTCATCCATCACGTGCAGGAGCAGGAGCAGCCCTCAGCCCCGCTCCGGAGAAAGTTGGATGTGGTGGGATTTTGCTCCTTTGCAGCCTGTGTGACCTTGGGGTGGCCTCTCCACGGGCTGCTGGGAGAACACTCTGTCTGTCTGTCCTCCCTGTGGGACAGAGCCCTTGTCCCAGCCGTGCCCGAGGAGATCAGCCCCAGGGCAGCAGCCAGAGCCTGAGGTCATGGAGCAGGGAGGGCAGGAGAGCAGCGCCGAGAGGGATGAGGGCAAAGCAGACAAGGGTTCTGGGCGCTGCTGTCAGCACACAGAGTGGCTGGCAGGGCTCAGCTCCAAGGGGATGTCCCTGTGTGTGTCCCCTCTCCCGAGCCCCCCGACCCTGCTGGAGCTCGCTGTGGGTGGGACTTGCCCGTGTCACCGAGCTGCTGGTGGCAGAGCCAGCCCTTGTGCCTGGTCCCAGGGTCTGCTGCTGCCCCTGCAGGCAGGAACATCCCTCTGCTCCCCAGAACGCAGGGCTGCCCCCCAGCCATCCCTGGGAGCAGCGAGCCAGGCTGTGTTCATTCCCCCAGGGACACCTGCAGCCCCCGTTAGCCACAGGGAGTGGGGCAAAGGCAGAGCTTTGCAAAACCCCCACCCAAAAAAAGGCCAAGAAAAGCCAAAATGCTCCTCTGGCACGGTGCAGGGGCTGCCTGTGCCCAGTGCTGCCTGCCTGCCCCTTCTCCTTTGGCACAAACAGCCAGGCCCAGTCTGGGGAGGGGGTTTTGGGCCCCCTCTCCCCATGAATGCTGAGCCAAACCACCCCAAACTTTCCTGGGGCCTCTGGGAGCAGGAAAGGGAACAGATCCAGCCGTGCTGGGGTGTGTTCCTCCCGCGGGGACAGATGTGGGTGACACAGAGCCCAGCACACCCTGCTGGCCAAGCTTCGGGAGCAGAGACACGTCCTGGGCCCCCACAGGGCTCAGACAGCGGGGCTGGATTTGGGGTTTGACCCTCCTGGGTGAGCTCCAGGGAAGGGACAGCAGCTGCCTAAGGCAGGGGGTGCAGGAGGAGAAGAGCCCCCCGGGACCCCCCAGCTGCGGAGGGCTTTGGGGGGCAGTGCCCACCCTCGCTCAGTGCCACCTGCACTGCTGCTCCCAGCGTGTGGGGGCTGCCGGGGTGGGCACCCTGCCAGCCTCCCCACCACCTCCAGACTGGGGGCCCTGAGAGCTGCACGGGGGGCTGGGGCTCCCCCAGAAAACGGGAGGAGCAGGGTCCTGGTGCTGCAGGGTGACAGAGATGGGACGGGCGCCAGGGAGGGACGGCCAGGCAGGAGCAGAGGGACAGGAAGAGGGAGACAAAGCTGCTTTGTGCAGGGAAAGAGGGGAATGGGTGCCAGACAACCCCACCGTCCCCACAGTGGGGTGCAAGAGACAATCCACAGGGGTGCAGGAAGAAAATGTGTTTTGTACCATTAATAAGTTCAAAAATATTTTAAACCAGTGGTTTTTTTTCATCTCTCCCCCATCCTTTTTTACCTCGTGTTTTAGCTTGTGCTTTAAAGTGTACTTGTTAGCCCAGCAGTACGTGTAGGGAATTTATAAATCAATGAATATATTGAGGGGGGTGTGGAATAAAAAGATGTGGAGCCTGGAG